TCTTACAAGTATTTTACTATGGACGATGGATGCGGGTGACCCCTACTGCACGTGACACGTGTAAAACGGAGAGGTGTCACTTTTGTTGTAATGACAATACCACGGTAATTCCTGAGGAGATTCTGCTGAAACTACACAAGGATGTAGGCACACACCGGGCCATGCGTTTCCATGTGTTACGGTTCGGGTGCAACTGCACGTGCGCGCGTGCAGGGTGACGCTTCCAGATCTCGGGAACGGCCGGGCCGATTGAGCTCAAATTTGGTACACCGCTAGAGACCGGTTAGTAGGGTGCCGTGCACAAGTCAGATGGGATCCATTTTGCACGTGCGCACGTGCAGGCTGACGCTTCCATAGCTAAAGACTGGCTGGACCGACTGTGCTCAAATTTGGCATATCACTAGAGACTGGGTAGTAGGGTGCCGTGAACAAGTCAGTTAGTATGTATTTTCATGTGCCACGGATGGGGTGCAGCTGCACGTGCGCAGGTGTAGGGGTCGCTTCCAGATCTTGAAATTGGCTGGGCCGATTGAGCTCAAATTTGGTACACCGCTTGAGAACGGCGAATAGAGTGCCATGAACAAGTCAATTGGGACCCAGGTTGCACGTGCGCACGTGCAGGGTGTCGCTTCCAGATCTCGAAAACGGCCGGGTCGATTGCACTCAAATTTGGCACACCGCTATAGACCGGCGAATAGGGTGCCGTGCACGTCAGTCTGTAGCACACCGACTCCGGTCTGCACGTGCAAGGCTCATCCTCTCGTTTGGCGGCGGGCGTTTTTGCTGCGTTTGCAAAGGTGCTTGCTCAAACAACCTGCGGTCCCGCGATGCGGAGCCCAGCATCGCAGATGCTGGGCTCCGCATCGCGGGACCATGCGGAGCCCAGCTCCGCATCGCAGATGCTGGGCTTCAAACAAACTTAATATGCGATGCGGAGCCCAGCTCCGCATCGCAGATGCTGGGCTTCAAACAAACTTAATATTGTTTGAATAGTGTTTGAAAAGACAAACACTATTCGTTAGAATTGTGTTTTTCTATTGAAAAACAACCGGAGCAGTCGTTCATCGGGCTATGTTTTGCATGTCTGGCCGCGGATTGGGGCACCTTGCTACCTGCCCAAACTACTGCAACGATTTTCGTAAAAATTTCAGAGCATGGGCTCGCGGAGGCGATCTAGCTGCTGGTACCGGTCGCTACTCGCTCAGAATTCTTTTGCGCGTGGCACGTGCGTTTCCATTTTCCCCATGTTAAGTCAATGGGGGTTTGGGGCTTTTTTTGCGCCATCGCTAATGGCGGAAAAACGAGCCAAGAAAGGGGTGGTTTTCTTCCAGGCATTTAATGGCAAACACGTTCCGGTACACGCCAGTGTGCGCCGTATACCCGTCAGAATCTCAGGTCACCTCTTTGCACGAGGTCAAAGTTGGAATTTTGCTGTGTCCCATGTTAAGTAAATGGACAATTTTGCAGATATATTTTCATTCGCGCATTTGAAAGTTTGCGTCAGTCCCCACGGCGGCCGGCCGCTAAACAATATTAGCGGCCGGCCGCCGTGGGGACGTTTTTGCACGACTTATATCTCCGCAGCCACTGGACCGATACACTTGCGGTTTTTTGTATGGGGTAGCGTATACCCTTCTTACAAGTATTTTACTATGGACGATGGATGCGGGTGACCCCTACTGCACGTGACACGTGTAAAACGGAGAGGTGTCACTTTTGTTGTAATGACAATACCACGGTAATTCCTGAGGAGATTCTGCTGAAACTACACAAGGATGTAGGCACACACCGGGCCATGCGTTTCCATGTGTTACGGTTCGGGTGCAACTGCACGTGCGCGCGTGCAGGGTGACGCTTCCAGATCTCGGGAACGGCCGGGCCGATTGAGCTCAAATTTGGTACACCGCTAGAGACCGGTTAGTAGGGTGCCGTGCACAAGTCAGATGGGATCCATTTTGCACGTGCGCACGTGCAGGCTGACGCTTCCATAGCTAAAGACTGGCTGGACCGACTGTGCTCAAATTTGGCATATCACTAGAGACTGGGTAGTAGGGTGCCGTGAACAAGTCAGTTAGTATGTATTTTCATGTGCCACGGATGGGGTGCAGCTGCACGTGCGCAGGTGTAGGGGTCGCTTCCAGATCTTGAAATTGGCTGGGCCGATTGAGCTCAAATTTGGTACACCGCTTGAGAACGGCGAATAGAGTGCCATGAACAAGTCAATTGGGACCCAGGTTGCACGTGCGCACGTGCAGGGTGTCGCTTCCAGATCTCGAAAACGGCCGGGTCGATTGCACTCAAATTTGGCACACCGCTATAGACCGGCGAATAGGGTGCCGTGCACGTCAGTCTGTAGCACACCGACTCCGGTCTGCACGTGCAAGGCTCATCCTCTCGTTTGGCGGCGGGCGTTTTTGCTGCGTTTGCAAAGGTGCTTGCTCAAACAACCTGCGGTCCCGCGATGCGGAGCCCAGCATCGCAGATGCTGGGCTCCGCATCGCGGGACCATGCGGAGCCCAGCTCCGCATCGCAGATGCTGGGCTTCAAACAAACTTAAACTGCGATGCGGAGCCCAGCTCCGCATCGCAGATGCTGGGCTTCAAACAAACTTAATATTGTTTGAATAGTGTTTGAAAAGACAAACACTATTCGTTAGAATTGTGTTTTTCTATTGAAAAACAACCGGAGCAGTCGTTCATCGGGCTATGTTTTGCATGTCTGGCCGCGGATTGGGGCACCTTGCTACCTGCCCAAACTACTGCAACGATTTTCGTAAAAATTTCAGAGCATGGGCTCGCGGAGGCGATCTAGCTGCTGGTACCGGTCGCTACTCGCTCAGAATTCTTTTGCGCGTGGCACGTGCGTTTCCATTTTCCCCATGTTAAGTCAATGGGGGTTTGGGGCTTTTTTTGCGCCATCGCTAATGGCGGAAAAACGAGCCAAGAAAGGGGTGGTTTTCTTCCAGGCATTTAATGGCAAACACGTTCCGGTACACGCCAGTGTGCGCCGTATACCCGTCAGAATCTCAGGTCACCTCTTTGCACGAGGTCAAAGTTGGAATTTTGCTGTGTCCCATGTTAAGTAAATGGACAATTTTGCAGATATATTTTCATTCGCGCATTGTAAAAAATTATGTGTCACGATTTCGTCCAAACTTTCAAACGTTGTTGACAAGAAAACATAGTATACGCTGTTATGCTTCGTTAAGCTGTGCAAAATCGTTTTTTCTTTTAAAGCTTGGTTAAAAATGGCAATTTTTAACATGGAAAGTCAATGAGAGCGTCTTTGTTTCATAATAACTTTTTACGTTGCAATTATATAAAAGTGAAAAGTTAATATAATATACAACTTTTGATGTTCTTCCCAACGACGTATAGAACGTCACTGCACAATGTGTCGTTTTCAAGAAAAGTTGTAAAAAAGCAGGGCTCGACTGTGACTTGAACCCAACCACATTAGAGTATACGAACAGGTGACGGGGATACCTCCCGTGTGCGGATGCGACACTGATTATTGCTAAATATTAGCAGTCGGCCGTTGTGGGGGCGCCTTTGCAGAGGTTATAGCTCCACAACTGCTTGACCGATTCGCTCGCGGTCTTTTGTGAGGGATAGCTTCTTCCTTTCTCAAACGTAGTGTGCTACTCTCGATGCGTATGGGTGACCTCTAATGCACGTGCCACGTGCAAAACGAAGAGACGTCAGTTTGGTAACAAGTCTAATTACTCTGTAATTAGTTTCCCGATTGCGCTGATACTTGACATGGATGTAGGCAACCGCCGGGCAATGCATTTCCATGTGTCACGGTTGGGGTGCAGCTGCACGTGCGCACGGGCAGGGTGACGATTCCAGATCTCGAGAACGGCTGGGCCGATTGTGATCAAAGTTGGCACACCGTTAGGGGTCGGCGAGTAGGGTGCCGTGCACAAGTCAGATGGGACCCATTTGGCACGTGCGCACGTGCCGGCTGACGCTTCCAGATCTCAAGAACGGCTGGACCGACTGTGCTCAAATTTGGCATACCGCTTGATACCGATCAGTAGGGCGCCGTGCACCAGTCATTTAGTATGTAATTCCATGCGCCACATTGGGGTGCAACTGCACGTGCGCACGTGCAGGGTGACGCTTCCAGATCTCGAGAACGGGCGGGCCTATTGTGCTCAGATTTGGCACACCGCTAGAGACCGGCGAATAGAGTGCCGTGCACAAGTCAATTTGAACCCAGGTTGCACGTGCGCACGTGCAGGGTGTCGCTTCCAGATATCGAAAACGGCCGAGTCGATTGCACTCAAATTTGGCACACCGCTAGAGACCGGCGAATAGAGTGCCGTGCACAAGTCAATTGGGACCCAGGTTGCACGTGCGCACGTGCAGGGTGTCGCTTCCAGATCTCGAAAACGGCCGAGTCGATTGCACTCAAATTTGGCACACCTCTAGAGACCGGTTAGTAGAGTGTCGTGCACGTCAATTTGTAGCACACCCACTCCGGTGTGCACGTGCAATGCTCGTTCTCTCGTTTGGCGGCGGGCGTTTTTGCTGCGCTTACAGAGGTGCTTGCTCAAACAACCTGCGGTCCCGCGATGCGGAGCCCAGCATCGCAGATGCTGGTACTGGTGGGTGAAGAAAGCAAACATGACCACAAATAATGGGGCCAGCGTCATCGGTTACTTACATAGCTACTTCAGTAGCGAATTCACGGAGAAGAGTTTGGTTAGCGGCTAGCGCGCTTTCAGCACGGGCACCGTAGAAGCATTGGACACAGGCTAGAATAACTCGCGTGTGTTGTTGATGTTATTACGCTTTATAAATGCCTATTACATAACTATACCCACAAAAATCAACTTAAGACAAACACAAACGGCTTATACGAATATAATCGTGAATCTGAAATATAGGTAAAGCAGCACAGCTAAAATCGTTTACAAAATAACGTTTAAACTACTAGTAGGTGAGCTGCTCTTCAGAACATGCAGGCCTGGTCTGACGGACGGAGGCGTTTACCGGGTCGTTTCTTGGCTGGCCTCGGTGTGTCCAGGTCATCCCTCGACTGACTTCTGCTGTTGCCGAGGTTCCGTGACGAAGACAGCGAGCCGGGCCGGCTGCCCAGCGAGCGCTCATCTGCCGGTGATACAATGCAGGCAGGGTCATTTATCGCGAATGATTCATTATTTTGGAAAAATGTGTTTTTTAATTATCCTAAAAAAATATCCACTTGAATAGCATTGATCTGTTTCTCTGTGAACCAAAACAAAGAATGATCAGGCAGTAACCGCAATTTTTTTAGCGCCAAGTGCATGAAACGGCAGTGAATAAAACGGAGATTAACCGTTCACCCATTTCTAAGAACATAGCGAAGACCGAGCGAACGATGGTATGTTACTTGTTGCTGCATTGTTATTTTTTACTGTTTTTACATACTGTCCCTGGAATTTTAATCCAACTGTGTATACTTCCTTGTGGTAACTGGTAAGAGCGCCTCTGAGACGATGCCATGCTACGACTCCACTACCTATAATATGCATATGCCTAAAATGCCTAAGAAAGAAATGCGATGGTTTTGAAACAGGCGGTTTATGTTTTGATTTTTGACTGCATAAGGCACGCTGTTAACCCTATTCCTGGCGGGGGGGCCTCAGGAGCCCCCCCCCTGAGGTTTTTTGGTTATTTCTCCCAAACGCGTTGAGCTAGGAAGCTCAAATTTTCTGACTTTTCCTAAAAGGCTTCTACGCAACATGTCTAAAAATTTTGAGTTGATCTGACCTCAGGTCAGGTCACCAGAGGCGGTTTGGTGACCCTACCTCAGAAAAGTTTGCAATCACGCCAGAGCTAGAGTTTTTGACCGATCAATTTCTTCTCTTCAGGGTTTAGTTAGGGTACCAGTATGTGCAATTTGTATATCTCGGAATTTTGATATCGGTGACCTAAGGTCAGGTCAATTTCGCGACCTCCCCATTATAAGTCAATGGGAGAAAAATCAACTCCCTGTTTTTACCACTAAAACGGGTCGGAATGGCCCCATATACCATACATGACTTCATATACGATCAACCTTCACTACCTTGAGGTCTGTTTTGCTGTTGGGCAGCTGTGAGGTCATGTGACGTCATCAAAGGTCACCAAAGGTTTTTGGCCAATAACTCCGTACAGGAACAAGATACAGACGCGTTGATGGTCTCATTGTGTTCAGCTCGTCAAGACGCATCGAATGATATACATGATGACCTCGAGGTCACGTGACCTGAGGTCAACCTTTGACCTTGACCTTTCGAGGTCAACATATATATCATTCGATGCGGATTGACGAGAGGATCACGATGATGCCCTTATTTTGTTCCTATCTTGACTAATTCGAAAGTTATTCGAGAAAAACTCTCTCAATATCTAGCGCCGCCATTTTGACTTTTTCGACCCCTGTGACGTCATCTTTGACCTGACCTGAAAATGACCTTAGTAAAAATTGTAGATCTTGGCCGTGCGTATCCGATGCCGTTTACCGCTTGTCGCTATCTTGCTTCGTTCTCGAGATCTCAGGGGGGGGGGGGCCGAATCGGCCCCCCCCCCCCGCCAGTTTCTTGTCCCGGCGGAGCCCGCCAGGAATAGGGTTAAGATTAATGGTGCCACGTAGAGTTCAAGGTCTGCATATGCACCAAGAAGAAGAAAAAAACTTAATTGTCATTGTACACCAGCTGTAGCATGCGGGGCGTGCGCCACATGTTGTATGGGGACATTCCATTCACACCACTAAGGGGCCGCTAAGGGGGGGGGGGAGGCATGGGACCCACGCCACCCACTTAATACCCGACTTTCATGCCTACGGCACTGCATGAAAGGAAATGAGCGCACGATCAGGTGAGCTGAGACGGTTCTCTGCGCCTGCTTTCTTTATGTCTACAGAACTATATCTCAAGCAGCTCATGGTGAGTCTCTCGTTGAAGTTGTCCACAATGGGCTAATACGGTAAAATGACCATTGTGGTCAGCACGCCCAAAGGCTCAATTAACTAACTGACGTTTTACTCCGCACCTTTGTAGAGGACGGTGTGCAGGGGGCACACCTCTCCGACCAGGCAGACCACGAGCAGCACGATCAGCAGCACGGCGCCGGCGCTGCCCACGATGATCAGCAGCTTCTCCTCGTTGGTCAGCCCGCTGATGAAGTCGAGGGTCAGCGCGTCGCCGCCGCCGCCGCTGCCGTCCCCGCTAGTGCTGAGAACTGCAGCCATCCCCGGCGCAGCGCCGCATCACGCACCAGGGCCGCGCATGTCACTGGGTCGGGGTGACCTCGCGACAGGTCATGCCGAGTCAGGATGTTAGTCAGCGGCGAGCGGTAGATGTTTGCTGATCAGCGAAATACACGGCAGACGGTAGGTATGTTCGCCTGAATGTGTTGATCCTGCTCCAAGTCAGCCCACGCTGAATGGGAGCACACCAGCCCGAGCCAGGTCACGCCAGGTCACGGTACACGGGCCGGAGGCGCTGCTCCGTCAGCTCAGAGTCACGGCAGGGCAGCCGGAGCCGCGCACCACTGACGCCTTCGGGCCGCGGCGGGTGACGGGCGGCACCGAGGCCTGTCGGCCGGCCCAGCTGCGGCTGTGACCGAACCACCTGTACGACACACACGGCTACAGTCGAACCCCGCGGCTACAGTCGAGCCCCGTCCGTCACCGGTGGTGTGTGGCCGTCACAGCTGCGGAGCTGCCAATGTGGTTACGGCGCAGGTGGCATTTACGGCGCGGGAAGTTCACGGCGGAAACACAGGGGAGGGGTCTTGCTGAACTGATTGGGTCTCAATAAACTGATGGGTCGCGCTAAATTAACTGCCGGTGGACAGGCTGGTGGACGAACTATAGTGGATCAACAGGCGCTCACTCTGACCGAGAACTGAGCGTGGAGCGTCCGTAGCCCGACCCCGCTCACCTCCGCAGTACTGTTGACGCCACTGCTGAGTCAGAGCTGCCGCGCTGTCGACCTGTGACAACTCAGGGTCGGCAGCCACCTGTCGGTCTCACCCCGGCGCCCCAAGAGGTGGCGCGGGACGGGACGGGCGGTCTTGCAACTGCCAGCTGTACCTACTTGCAAGCTCTTTTTACGATCCTTCTGATGAGCCAGTTTCCCTGACCTCGTTAGCCCTCCTGTTAGCCTCTCGGCTCGTTGCAAAGTTTCTGCACCTCTCCCCGTCCTTTTTCGATCCTCTCACCGCCCTTATTCGGTCCTCTCGGTGTCCTCCCGTGGTTCTGCCGCTCTCCTGCGGTACTCCTGGCGTCCTCCCGGCACTCCGACAGCACCACACCCTCGCCCGACCAACAATGAACACCGCAGTGACATGGATGCCACAGGCTCGGCAACAACAGCCCGAACCGCCCCTATGCTATGGCTCGGTACGGCCGCCCGCATCATTACCCCACATGGAAGGGACATTAACCCACTGCGACCAGACTGAGCCGTCAGTCTCCGATCGAGCCCAAACATTGTTTGTCGCGGGAAACATAAGCCATGCCCAGGGGCGTAGGCAGGGGGGGGGCCACTGGGCCATGGCCCCCCCCCCCTTGGGCGCCGAAGGCGCCCTTTGCGATTGGAGGGCGCCGAAGGCGCCCTCCAATCGCAAATGCAATTGTGATATAATCGAATCGAAAAACAATCGCGACTGGAGGGCGCCCTCCAATCGCGAATGTGTTTACAGGGAAAATACGGATGGAGGGCGCCCTCGGAGGACGCCCATTCCAAATACGCCCTCCAAATACGGTTGGAGGGCTCCCTCGGGCGCCCTCCAACCACATTTGTAGGCTGTAGCTCTCTAAGCGTAACGGTGGTCGCCTATGTAAGCCGCTGTCCTGTAAATAAGCGCCCTCTCACCCGAAGGCGCCCTCCTGTAGGTCGCCACCCTGCTACACATTGCCGCCCTTCTGCTGATCGGCGTCCTCATAATTATTGGCGCTCTTCTACCTATTGCGCCCTCATGTGAAATTTTGAAGGCCGCCTTTCTCCCTTTTGGCACCCTCTTGTTCAGTGCCGCCCTCCTACCTATTGGTTCCCTAGTCCTTCCTGTTGAATGCTAATCGGGGCCCTTCTCCTATTGGCGCCCTCGTGTTGATCGCCGCCCTCCTAACCACTGGCACCCTCCTGTTGATCACCGCCCTCCTATCTACTGGCACCTTCCTGTTGACCAGCGCCCTCCGCACAGACGCCGTCCTGTTCGTGTCATCCTCTTGAGCAAAGGCGCCCTCCTCACCATTGCCACCCCCATTTTAATCGTCACCCTTCCGCTCATTGGCGACTTGCAGTTGATGACCGCCCTCCCACCTATTGGCGACCTCTTGTTGATCGCCACCCTCCTATTGGTGCTCTCCTGTTCCTCGCCACCCTCTTACCTGGTGGCGCCCTCCTGTTGATTGTTGATCGGGGCCCTCCTACCTATTGGTGCCCTCCTGTTGATCGCTGCCCTTCTATCCATTGGCGCCCTCCTGCTGCTCGCCAACTTCCTACCTATCGGTGCCCTACTGTCGAAACTCGGGATGTTGATCGGGGCTCTTCTACCTATTAGCGCCCTCCTGTGGATCGCAGCCCTTCTACCTATTGGCAACATCCGTTGATCGCTGCCCTCCTATCATTTATTTACTCCTTTGGCATGTTCTTCAACTTAGTCGTTCTATTGCACATAGTTGGTGTCTTGCCTGTGAAAACTGCCACAAATGAACGTGCATTCAGCACAATGAATGAAGTACCTATACCTACCAAAACTATCTACGCTCTACGATGCATAAAACACGTCTTTGGTCTTAACGGATTGATCCTACTTTACGTGCATCATGGCATCTAGTTATATGTATTACGATTAAGTATTGTCAACAGGTTCGGCCGCAACAGCAGGCATCTGAAGTTTCGGTGATTGAAACTGGTTATGTGGGTACACTGTATGCACCTGTGAGAAGGCTATGAAGGCTGGTCTGAGGTAATTTGGATGATGTTTACGCATCTCGCGCTCCGGTATCAATCCGATACGGTGATATGTTGCGTAGATATGCCACCGCCAATAAACTTTTATACATCGACACCCATGAGCCAAGCTTTCTATACAGTTTGTGTGGCAGCGGCCCGACCAAACCTTAGGTATTTTTTATACCTTCAAATTTGGTAAAAGAGCGAGAGGAGCTTTGAACAGTGATCGTATAAAAGGCGTGCCTAAAAAGCGGAGGAAAAGGTTGTTTTCAAAAATTTCGCGCGCCTTCGGCGCAGCATTTCAAGACCACTTGACCTTTTGTGACCTGGAGTATAAAGAATACGCACGATGCAAAATCAATGCAGCACGACCTATACGAGGTTACGCAAAAAAAAAACTGGTGGCATGGTAAAAAAACGCCTCCCAACCCCCCCCCCCCCGTTGAGTGATTTTTTATCTCGCGACCGTATGGCGCCCTCCTTGGGTGAGGTGGCGCCCTCCAAACCCTTGGCCCCCCCCTTCGCGATTTTCTAAATACGCCGCTGGCCATGCCGGGATCTCGATTAGTGGCAAAACAAGTTTATTAGATGTAACAGCAACTCAAGAAACTCAAGATTACGAAACGATATTTATTTTTAAATTACTTTTAAATACACAAAGCTTTCAGTCACATACGACCTTGATCACTGTTTCACAATGTTTCACAATTATACAAACATCGCAAAAATGATACAAAAACCGTCTAAAATTATTAATGTGAAGCGCATGAAAACATAAACGTTTTTTGTATCATTTTTGCGATGTTTGTATAATTGTGAAACATTGTGAAACAGTGATCAAGGTCGTATGTGACCGAAACCTTTGTGTACCGTAAAGTGGGGCTATTTGAGACAGTGGGGCTATTTGAGACAGTACCTATTTAAAATCGCTATAAAATGAAGATCGTTTGATTTTGGTGTGATATTTTTGTTCAGGGAGGTGTGGAATCGGGCAGTAAATCGCCTGAGGAAAAATTAAGAATAAAATTTAAGTGTTTTTATTTTATAGCAATTTTAAATACTGTCTCAAATAGCCCCACTGTCACAAATAGCCCCACCTTACAGTATTTAAAAGTAATTTAAAAATAAATATCGTTTCGTAATCTTGAGTTTCTTGAGACTTGAGTTGTCGTTATCCAACTGTCATGGGTGCTTTAGGCACATTTATTAGATGTTTTGGAGCCCGTATGGTTTTGTATGCTGGCGTCTATTCCAATGAAAATTTAACTTTATCTTGGGCTCGGCTGAAAATCATAATTGGAACTTAACCAGCTTATGTTGGTAAAACGTCTAAAATAGTTGTCGAAGTAGGCAAAACATCTGGGCAAAAAAGTAAATACTGAAACAGCTAACGGCTGTGTCATCGACCGTTAGTAAACACAGAACACGTCGTGTCAGCGTTAGGCCTGACCGATGATGCCGGGATTTGAATATTGTACCTAATAATTGCAGTTTCGGCCCAGACGTTCACAAAGCGTAAAATATTACAGCTTTCCGAAACGTTGTTAGAACGCTCCATAGACATGGGAATGCTTTCAAATAATTAATTATTATCGGCTAACGGTGCAGACGGCAGCTGGCCCTGCGTCTAACCAAGTTTCCTTTCGTCTATGTAACTAGCTGGGGCACCGATGAGGCCGGTGGCCGACCGACAGTTTAGTGGCTGGGCTGGCCAAACGAACTGGCTCCCGCTCCGGTTGCTCGGGTCGCGTCAGCCGTCACCTCTCGAAGTCGAGACGGACGAGAGTAGGTAAAAGGAAGACCCAAGGCCATCTAGAGGAAGACCCGTGGAGACGAGAGAGGCGGATCAAACGGACGCCATGTGTCAACTGCCAGCGCGCGAGGTGGGGGCGACAAACTAGTGTGCTGTCTGTTCTCATTCTTTCTCTAGCCGTCGGCACGAAGGTATACAAACAGAGCCAGTGGCGCGGGAACTTCTTCCAGACGGGGGGGGGGGGGGGGGAGGCTGCACCATAATAGAGATCATTGATCAACCTCGGGTACCCCCCAGATCTAGTTTTCTCAACGATTTTATGTCATTTTTCACACATTGGCCGTTTCAACGAGAAAAACGAAAACATTTACCGTTTTGGCAACCTATCCGCGCTTATGTATGAATCTATGAAATTATGTTCGTAGATTTCCGATTTCGATTCGGGATTCCTCCAGTTGAAGGCATAGGCGCGGGAGCCGGGGGGGCAGTGGGGGCAGCTTGCCCCCCAACTCTGGGGCCGTGGGGGCGGTGCCCCCACAGCTTTGAGACGGAATGCCACACTTTTTTTTGCAAATGTTTTCTTTTTTTGTTGAAAAAGCCGAGGGGTGAAAAATAAGTGGCCTAAAACCGGTGAGAAAACTAGATTTGGGGGTACCCTAGGTTAATCTCTATTATGGTGTGCCCCCCCAGTCGGAAAGTAGTTCCCGCGCCCCTGGTTGAAGGGGCTCAAAATACATTACGAGCCCCCCAGCCGAAAAGTTGGAGGGGCTCAGCTCAGCCCCCGCTAGCCCCCCCCCCCCCCGGTTCCCGCGCCACTGAACAGAGTGGTACGAGATTGCACAATTCAATTGAGCCAGCGCCGGCCGGCACCGACGGTGACGACTGACGATGGTGGTCGGAGCCAAGGCCCTAAAGTCGGAGCAAGATTACTTTTTTGTTCAAACTTTGCCAAAATTACGGTAATTCAAGGAAAATTGATACCAAATCCTCCATATCAGCTACCAGATTAGCCATTTGCTGCGCACTTGTTTCATTCAAAACCTTATTTGTGTGTTTTTTCAACAATGTCTTTCATAGGAATCGTTGACGTCATTGAATGATGAGGTATTTCCTGGGAAATTTCCGATAAATTAGCTCAATTATGCGGTACCTTCAATTTGAAATTTGATTTTTTGTTGTTTGTTGGAAAAATGTCGTATTTGATCAAATTTTTCACTTGCAAATTTTTGTCATATGTGGATAAGATTTTCTTATTCTAATCGACGATTGGCTTAAAAACAGACGTCATAGACGTAAATATATTTCAACTGAAGCGTAATCAAATGAAATGTGGCCGTCTGCTAGACATGCGAGATCCGGTGGAAGCTCAAATGCTCTTCCAGGAGTATGTAGAGCTCAACTGCGACTCTGCTTTTTTCTTCACAGATGGCTCATGTCACGAAAATCAGATAGGTTCAGCAGCCGTCGGCCCTGGGCTTAGGTTTGGGACCCGGCTTCAAGAATTTACGACAGTCTTTAGTGCCGAAGTTCACGCAATCGAAAAAGTTATGGAGCACATCAAGGCAGAAAAGATTGATCGGGCAACCATCTGTACTGATTCGAAATCCGCTCTTCAAGCACTGGAAAGGACCGATAATGTTACCCACCACGGTATCTACAATATTCTCAGGATCACATCAGATCTCAATGAGGGCCAGCATGTGACCCTTCTTTGGGTTCCAGGTCATTACGGTATTGCAGGAAATGAACGTGCGGATGTCCTCGCAAAGGAGGCTGCAATGCGACCTGATCCAGTTGTGGAACCTATGGCCCAAGGGGACGCTATTCATATGATAAAAATCAAATTCGCCGAGTACCTTCAACGCAAATGGGACCAACATCATGCTGCACATATGTATGCGATCAAACGAGAACTTAGAACATGGGTCACATGTAACCAACCAGACAGGATACGCGAGGTGACCCTGGCCAGATTGAGGTGTGGTCATACTCGCCTCACCCATGGCCACCTTTTTGATAGGACGGGCCCTCCGATTTGCCACACCTGCGACACACGCATCTCCGTAGAGCACATTTTGATCGCATGCACGGCATTGCATCACGAACGAAGACACATCACTAACTATCTTGCGGTACAACACCTTAAAAACGACCTCCCGACGCTTCTCGGGGACGACACAACATTGACAAACCTGGTACTTGATTTCGTCCTAACATCACCCTACTCAGAGCTACTTTAACGGCCTTGACTGTTAGCAGGCGCCCGTTTCGCTACCACCAGGCTGACTTGTGATACGGGATGGGTCGGGTTTTTCGCTGGTGCCGAAACACAGAGCTTCGGTGGCAGACGGGTTTTCTCCTGCCGCTGGAGCAGGCTTAGAGGCTCAGCGGCCCAGCGAGCTACACCAGCGGACCCCGGCCGCTGAACAGCGGCGGCGGCCGGGTTGAACGACCACAGACAACCGTCGGCCGCCAACTGCAGCAGCGACAGATTCCCCATCCTCCAAACCATTCCTTTCATCGTGACGCTTAAACATTCACAAACCCCATCCCTCCCAGCGACATATCCCCCACTCTTCAAACCATTCCTGTCATCAAACTCTCGTAACCTTACCATTCACAAACTTCCTCCTTCCCTCCCTTCACAAACATCAATTTACCGGTAAGTTTCACTGTCATTTATGTGTCTTAACGTAAATTCATGGGTTTTTTCCCATATTCATGGCATAGTACATGGATATGGGTTTTCCCATGTTGTCTTGCTGTAAAAGTGGCCACCGGTCTTAGTTAGGACGGCCGGTTTGTTTTGCGCGGCGTAGTTAGGTCGCCGCCCTCCTCGCGAGGCCGGTAACGTAAGTTAGGGCCACTAAAAAAAAAAAAAAAAAAAAAAAAAAAGCCAGGCCAGAGCTTTTGCTGATCACCGGTGCATTCCAATTCCGCTTATAATCGGTAAAGAAGGGCAATTGATCAAAATAATTTCACGTAACTCATCATCCTAATTCCTACAGGGTGTTTCACTAAAAGTGTCAAAAAGTAAAAGGTCCTTATGCACATAATAACAATGTTTTCTATGGACATTTGCACATCATTCTATCCGCGATTGTTGGACATTTGAATATATAAAAATGATATCACCGTCACTCAAACCTATTCCACATATCCGCCGCTTCTTTTGATGCACCGTTTCGGCACGTGTCCGGAGGTGCCTCACAGCCCGTTTTCATCTTCAGCGTCCAGACTGTCGGCAAAGCCTTGCATTGTGCTCTTCAGCTCCAAAAGTGATGCGACTTAAGTCTTCCTCAGCTCTGCGAGAGCTACTGACCAAAACCAGAAGGCTAGCGTGACAGATCGGGGCCTCGCGCTGGCCAGGGGCGGGCGGTGAGGCAGCTGATTATTCGGCCAGGGAACGGAACTTCTGGTCCAGCCAGTTCTTGGTGGCTACAGCTGTTACAGTGGTTGTTTCTGATAAATTGGGGGCTTGGCTATTTCTGATGTTGAAATAAGCTTCTTGTTATCTTAAAAGGCCCTAAAAAAAGACCCTGACCTTTTCAACGATTTCCGCCGAGAGGTGGGGGCGACCCGCCTTTTTTTTGGACTGGAGCCGGCATCAAAGGAACCCTTTTAAACCTCTCAAGAAGCCCTTTGAAACTTTTATAATCTGGGTCGTAGCGAGGTGAGAGAGTGAAACGTTTCCTGAAAAGTCGGCGTACGGTTTCAATGTTTCTGATAGCACCAAATGTAAGTGTAATCCACCGCTCCCGTTGCGGTGTAAATAACCTGTTCTTGTTCTGTATAAGGAAAAAACGACTAGTAACTTTGGCCTCCTGCCCTCGCTCCGTATGAGTGTAAGATATATCTTAAGTGGCCAAAGCATAAATGTCCAAAAATTTGCAACAAAGCCACGTGCACAACCACGTGCTTTGCGTATTTTATATATCTTTAATAAGCATTTTCTTTTTGACACTTTTAGTGAAACACCCTGTAGCTCAAGCTGTTTATACAGGTGAGAAGTTGGATTGATGTTAGCTCTCAGCAGTGAGCCTCAATATTCAGGTTTCGAAGTTTGAACTCAACGTTAAATGTCATGTCAAATCATGTCATACATATACTTTGTAATTTATTGTTACTCTCACAATATTGTATTATTTCAACATGACTGATGTTATTGAAAAGTTGCCCTCTGCTCCAACTCCACATTGACAGGTTAATATCGATGATGTCAATGCACGCTTCGCTTGTTTGTGGTAATCAGAATAGCATCTACTACTAAAAGTGTAAAATGTTTAGTGGTTAATTATCTGCCCAATTTCTGAGCAATAAAATAAGTGGTAGGTACTGCTTCTCCCACTCAGTACTGGATTAAAAGACAAAACCATTACCATTGCAACAATGTCTCTCCCTTGTCTGCCACAATCTAGGCAACCTTGTCCCCATGGCCCATAGGTACCACTTCATAAGTCCTTATGTCAATGTCAGCTTTCATTCATACTTTGTAGCCATGGGCAGATAACTAGGGGGCACAGATAATGACTTTTGCATCATTAGTTTTGCATTTTCTGTTGAATTTGAATTAATATTCTGTATAGCTTTTGCTTTGTGATTAGTTATGAGACAGCAACCATGGGCAGATCTAATTGGTTGTGTCTGGGTTTTTGGTGTGGTGGTGACCAAGTTTTTGGTCATTTTGTGGATAAAAATTGGATTTTTTTTTGTTGGTAGCAAATAAGCATGGTGGGGTTGGACTGGAGATGTCAATCGGATACCAATTTTTTGGTATACCAATACCAAACCAATACCAACTTGGTTTTTCAATTTGGTATTTCAAGGCGAGTGCATTTGGTATTTTGTTGGTATTATGAATCCTCACTAACGTAAAAGAGGCTGGAATTTTGGTAAAAAGTTGGTATTTTCCTCATATTCCCAAGTCAGTTCGGTTTCGGTATTTTTCCATGGATATTTTTGGTGTTTGGTTTGGTATTGGTATCACGATTTTCCGTAATTGACATCACTTGGTTGGACACATTCTGATCTTGGCGAATTTAGACCTGCCATTGTATGTATGTTAGTGACCGATTGTGGTGGAAAAGCTTGTTCATCTGCTAGTTTGCCAGTAGTTCTCAGTTCCCGTCAGTCGCTATAGATGACGCCACTGCTGCCCGGCCTGTGGGACTCGCCGTCACCCATCCCCGCTCACCCGACCCCGGCCGGATGTGCCGGGTCAGGTCACTGGCGGGGTAACCAGGCTGATTACCACGGTCACCGGGCGGATCAGAGCAGTTACGACCGCGTTCCATCGCTGGTTAGCGGGGTGGAGTCCAGTTCCGCTGCTGGACGCTGCGAGCTCACCATGATTCAGCGGTGTCCCGCCGCGATGATCTGGGCGGATGGGTCGGGGAGGGGGAGGGTGGTGTCCCCTCCCTGGAACGCTGTGGGTCTGGCCGCGTAACGTCTGTATCATCGTGACGAGAGCCAGGATGGCAGACCAGGCCATCTCGGTAATGTTCCCCGAAATGGAAGGGCTATATGCTGTGTCTTTATCTCCCTGTACGTAACCATTGGTTTCTGGACTGTGGAGCGTGTAGTGTGCTTTTATAGAATTGCCATTATTTCTAACTGTTAGAAGGAGATTTCCTCGTTTTTTGCTACCTTTCTAGCCGGCATAAGATTGTCTTACCAAAAACTGCTCCGCTTGACGGAGCCAAACCTCCTCATTAAATTTTTGTTTGTGAATTCGTAAATGTACGACTGAATGTTTCCCACGTAAGATTTGAATTATATGCGTTTTTAAGTTGGGACGTCGCATCCCATCCAATCATAGCCAGTTCGAAACTTTTTTGTGGACTCTCCCATGTTCTTTACGTAGGCGTTGCTCGCCCCTCCCGAAGCCGGTTTTATTTCAGCCGAGCGTGGGACAGCTCCGCGCCTTTCTCTGCCCTCCCATGAGCGGTACTGTGCGGTGACGGGCGCGGGTCGGGTGAGACCTTCTGATACCTGGCCCGACCTCAGGCCGGCTCGTGTTTCGGGGTGATCGAGCAGGCGACAGTCAGACGATACAGTCGATGGTGTTCACCGCTTCAGAGTTCGGATGAAGGTCGATACGTGTCTATAAGGACGGCAGACTGAACCGGTAAACGGTGCTTATTGTTCAATGCTTAGCTCGTCGGGATCTCTGTTCTGCGCTCAAGGACAGTCGTCCGCCTTTCCTATTTTGCAAGATGCGATCCTCCATCGATCTGCCCTGTCTAACTGAAGACTTTTCACTGGGAGGTCGTTGAGCATTGAGCAAGCTTACTAATATTCATCACTGGACAGCGGCACAAAATGATCCCCTACACGCCATCCCTCCCTTACTTACTGGTCTTACTGGTCGAGCGGCAGCGTCGTTAGCCGGCGGAGGCCCAATAGTTGGCCCCAAGCAGCCTCTGCTCCTCCTAGCTGGAACACCCTGGTCAGCGCTGCTCGGGAGAGAGTACCATGCTACCGTTGTTTCAAAGCTATCCGGAAATACATATTTAGACGGGGCTTCGGTCTATTCTTTTGACTAGTCTCACCTCACCATCCTCCGGGCTTCCAATTCCAGCCAGACCGGTATCGTTCACGGTCCAGCAGTGATGAGGTCGAAGTCATCAATTCAGGCGTTATCCACGTAGCCAGAAGTCACAGACAAATTTGAGACCCTGAACTAAAAAAGTAACAATAGTATAGAGGGACATTTAGTCATTGGATTTACAGGGCCTTAATCAAGGCCGTATAAGAGGCCTTAATGTGCACGGTCTCTTTAGAACGGAGAGCGGAGATGCCTCATGCCAAACTGTGTGTGGTGCGCCCGGTTACACATGAGGCACTGGGACATGTCAATAACAACACTTGAAGGTCAAGGCAACACATTTCAGTAAAACATTTGATTCTAGGTTATTTGGGCTGGCGATATTGGTCATACGAAATCATGACATATTTTCGCGAACACCCTGTACTCGCCCGGTTTGCGCTGATTTGGTGACGCTGTGCCTTCCCCCGGGGTCGGGTTAATGACCCGGGGTGCAGTGGTGCAGAACTCGCCTGCCGACGGCCGTATAAACCCCGTGCACCTGTAGAGGCGCTGGGTAGCGCCGGGCACTGCATCGCTGTCCAACGGACCGCGGCGTCGGGTGGCACTTCTGTGGCATGTCCCCTGGATTGGTGCGGTGAGCGAATTGCATTGGGGACTAACTTTTGAAGCTCCCCAGCCCGCAGGGCAGACGGTAGGCGGCGCCCCTTACGGCTGCACTCGCTCCGACGGGGTGGTACGAGGGTGACGTCACATGACGTCACACGCTGGCGGCCGTGCCCCCGTCGGCGTGGCCGGTCTATATAGTTGGCAGCAGACCAACGGGACGTTCTCAGTCGTACAGACAGCTCCGCCGCGTGGGTCGAGAGCGCGAGAGGCACCTCATTCCAGGTTGGTTGGCGCTCAGCGAGCTCTTCCCTTGGTGGATTTTGTGGAATGGGTTGTTTGTATTTCGCGCAATTTGTAGCGCAATTTGTAGCGCATTTTAACGCTACAAATTGATCCTTGCTTTTTGGTTTGCGATATTCAACGCTTTACTGCATTCCATATGGTTTGCTCTCTTGTAGCACAGAATTAGTTCTTGCTTGGTAATGTAGGACATTCTCTAGGGCATTGTCTAGCCTGGTTCACCGACCACCGCTCATTCTGCGTCATTATCTATTCGCTGCAGCAGCGCAGCGTATCGCTCGTCATCTGTTTTTTTTTCTCGCGGCGCGGTCGTTTTACAACAGGTCCGTATCGCGTCACCTCATTGCAGCGCCATTGACCTACTCGCAGGTTAGAGATACAAGGTGTCGTCCCGTTTCCGTCGACACAGCTGTACAGGTCACGCAGCAATCCACTCCCTTCTTTCGTCCCCCTCACATTAGCATCTGGGGACGGGACACGGGTCACGGCATTCTGGCAGACTCAGCTGCCGAATGCTGTGTGTCAAGGGCTGGGACTGCGTTCGTCTGAAACTGCGGGATTCTAGTTGCAAGACTATTGTAATTGTTTGCTAAGTCTCAACTAAAATGTGCTCGATTGCAGAGATTTTCACTTATTTGCACGGATTTCCTGTCGGATTCAGAATCAGGGGCATCTTTTTGTGGGTATCCTTTTTTGTCGGGGATGCAAGTGCAAAACTTGTTTGTGCCTTGCTACACTCGATCACACACTCGGCGCAGAAATTCAGGTCGTTTTCAGGTTGGTCATAGACGACTTCAAATCACGGCCTTTAATCTCAATATCGCTCGAGTCCTCACACTTGTTCACAGGCTCAATCACTTGATCTACCTTCTACCGGTCGCGGCACACAGGCACGTTCACATCTGAAAATATAGGTGCTCCCAGGCCGGTGTGAGGGGGAGGGGCTGGTCGCGCCACCGCGTCTCTCGCCCCGCGTGTTTGGCCAGCTGGTGGTGACCCGTCTCTGGGTCGGAGTCGGGGGAAGGGGATGGGGGGGGGGGGGTCACCACGCGGCGTTCGTCCGCCCCCCCCCCCCCCCGGCGGCTGGCGGGGTTCACTGGGCATCTGCTCGTCTGGCGCCTCGACTTTAGTGAGATACGCCCCATTCCCAAACGTTACGACATTTCAGTGTTTAGGCGAGCCATTTCGGGTTTCATTTCTTTCGCAAGGTTTCCATTGAACGCGGAGGATAGCCCAATTCCGACTACCCGAGCTGGTGTTGGTGACCCCGGGTTTTGTCTGGTCACCATCAGAGCTATTTGTCTTCTCTCGGATCCACCTCTTGCGCAAACAGACCAGACAGGCAGACACAGCGCGTCTGGTCGTCGCCTGTTCTCGTGCAGGTCGCCTGTTCTGCCCCTTCTACAGAGTATGTACAGGGGCGCACTTTTGAAGCCCTCGTTTGCGCACGTGCGAGGCTTCACTGCTGCTGCACTTTATAACCTGTCGAGCTATGCTGTTTTGCTAGCAGTTCTGACAGAAGCTGCCGTATTTCAGTGCCGTTTGCCAATTTACCGCCCGCCTCGCCGCTGCTGTCGGTGACACAATCATTGCACGCTTTGTACGCACTACACAATGAGGTGTCTGTTCAATATCATTGGCGGGATATTTCCATTTAAAATTACGCAATCCAGTCAACATATCGCCATCCCATCACTCGACACTTCTCGACATAAACATTTACACGTCACTCACGTCAGCACAGTTCGAATGCCGTGTGTCCGGGCTCTCTGTGCCAGGGGCAGGTGCTGTTTTGTTGTAGGCGTGTAACATGTGCCAGAGCTCTCACCAGTGCTCCCGTCCGGAGGAGTGTCCCACCACGGTGGTCGGTGTGTGATGCGGATCAATATGTCATGGCGAGGGGGCGTGTCGCGGTCTGGGCGGACACTTTCAGACAGATGACATGCGCGCTTTTTTGGCAGCTTTCTGTTTGTGCATGAACAAAAACGAATTTCAACTACATTATACATGCTATTCGTTAGCATGTATTTTTGTCTCGAAATCGATCACTGCTTATTTATCTTACCTACTAAACATAAGCGTTCACTTGAAGGTTTCAGCTCTGACAAGGAACAAATCTGTCTTCGTTCGCCAGCATACCCTTCCCATGGGCTTATAAAGACGTCTGTCTCTGTGCGGCTGTAATGCCATAGACCATCCGAGCCCGCCGCTATGGCTGCTGGCGGTATGATGAAGGGTGCCAGTGAACGGTCTGCTCCATTCTGGGACGGAGCAGACCCCACAGAAACACGTGTGTGCGCCAGTGTTTAGACAGTGGGCGCATGCGGACCTCGCGGTGGCCGGCGGGCCGGGACGACCACCGCTGTGGCCTGTTCGGGTGGAAAACTACCGGTAGCGGGTCACGACAGGGGCGGACAGCTGTGACACCCGAGGGGGCGGTGTCTGACACCGAGGGGGCGCAGTCTCTGACACTGAGGGGCGGGGTCTGACACCCGAGAGGGCGGGGTGTGACACCAAGGGGGCGGGGTGTCTGACACCGAGGGGGCGGGGTGTGTGACACCCGAGGGGGCGGTGTGTGTGACACCCGAGGGGGCGGTGTGTGTGACACCCGAGGGGGCGTGGCAGGTGACCTCGTGACCGATCCCGACAGGCTCGTGTTGTGATACAGACTGCATGCCTCTCGAGTCTTGTGGCTGCGGGCTGTTGGTGTTTTTGCGCTGTGATCCATTATAAACACCTACTCCTCTGAATAATTTGCAGATTTGTTTTCTCTGACACTGACCTTTTGTCGGTATAAGTTGAACGTTGACCAGTCACGTCACCCCGCCGCTCTCCGCTGACCTCCCCCTCCCCTCTCTCCCCCAGGTCACACACCCCCACTCACAGCGCCGCCATGGAGGGTTTCCTGCCGCTGGACACGACGTTCGCCACGCGCGCCTGCCACGTGGGCCAGGAGCCGGAGCAGTGGACGTCGATGGCCGTGGTGCCGCCCATCTCCATGGCCACCACGTTCAAACAGGACGCGCCCGCCGAGCACCGGGTGAGAGGGAGGGGGTTACAAATGAAGAGGCAGGGGTATCGAATGGGGGAGGGGTAGAGCACCTTGGGTATTTTGGGTAGGCTAGGACTGGGATGGTGTCTTTATGAAACTAGGGTTGATGGGGGGGGGGCTGTAAAGATAGTAGGGACCGGCGAATGCTACTTTTAAGGGTTAATAATTATTAATATTATTATTCGTGCTACGTCGTGTCCAGTTTACATTAGAACATAACTTCATATTTGACAGTGACGTTGTGTGTACGTTTGTTTGTTGTTCAAAGACAGTAAGGACGAAGCCGGAAGCGGTATATCAATGCTGTCATTTTAGAGTGTCTAACGCATGTGTCATTCACAAATCAGTGCGTAGTTAAATGTCGTTCGTATCTCTGCTCGTCCTTTATGGATTATTTACAAACGACAGACATAAACAGACTTGATATGAACACTGAACAGGCTACTTTCGTCGGTGGCGTGACCTTCCTGCTATTACGGTATACATCACTGATGACGTAACATTCTTTTGAGACAGACAAATTGCTTTTGAGCCCAACTATTGCGTTCCAACCAAGTTGTGACCATCCACTTCCAACACCAGTTGCAACTTGCAGTGTGCCCTTCTGCTAACTTTCCTTTCTTCTCCATTTTCCATCGAGATCTCAGCGGAACAGGTGCTTGACAATCTGGTTTATATCCACTCCGTCTTCACAGCGGACTGTTTATTTTTTATAGCCTAGGCTAGTGTACACATTGATTAAGGGGTTTCACAAGTTAATGCGCGACGTGTTTGGAACTGAGCTTTGGTCCCGGCAGGGTTTCGAGTACTCTCGCAGCGGCAACCCGACCCGTGATGCCATGGAAAAGTGCTTCGCCTCCCTGGAAAAGGCCAAATACGGTAAGTGTCGTTCAACTCACCGTGTTTCTATATAATCGAGCTTTGGAGTGTTGATACTTCACCATTCACAAAGGTGACCTTCTTCGTCTTTTCATTCCATTTGCCGATGCATGTGGACAGCTCAACCATTTTACATTCATATATTCATGAAAATCCTTATGACTTCAATTTCTCCCCAGGCATGGCGTTCGCGTCCGGTCTGGCCGCTACCACCACCATCGTACACATGCTGAGCAGCGGAGACCACATCGTCTCGATGGACGACCTGTACGGCGGCACCAACCGCTACCTGAGCAAGGTGGCGTGCCGGATGGGCGTGCAGGCGACCTTTGTGGACGCCTCCGACCCGCAGAAGGTGGCCGACGCCATCACCGACAAGACAAGGGTGAGAGCGCTGAGAGCGGGGGCAGAGGGAAGAAAGAAAGGATTCGGCTAACTTCAACTGGCCCTGGACATTCAGGACTGCTTATTGGATATTTATACTGGGGAAAATGCGCCCTATTATTTTCCAAGCAAAAAGTTATTACATTTGCTATCGCTCCACGAAGCTCAAAAGTCAATCATAATATATGGTACCGATCGAGCAAGCCAATGGTCTCTAATGATATTTAATTTTCAAACGATAATTAATTTATGATCGCGCGTGACGTATCCGCTTTGTCTCGCCACCCCTCCCCCGCGTCGCTGACTGCCCTCCGGCTGCTCTTCTCCGCTTACCCAGCTGGTATGGGTCGAGTCGCCGACCAACCCGACCATGAAGCTGGTGGACATCGCCGCCATGGCCGCTGTGGTGAAGAAGCACCCCAACGTGCGACTGGTGGTCGACAACACGTTCATGTCCTCCTACTGCCAGGTGAGAGACGACCAGACAGACGCGCACTTATCTGCAACACGCAGATGTAGACTTGTGTGGGGCGTAAGCTGAAGTGACCGCAATGTAGACTTGCGTGTATCGGGTCTGTGATTTAGTAAGGCAAAGGAGTGTTACTGAGTGGAGGTATTTATCATTACGCGTTTTCGCTGTCTCGCTGGTTGGGTAGCTATCGACGGGCTGTGTCCAAATATCCTGTCATATTCCGATTCAAATGTTGATGACAGCTCTACATATATCAGCGCTTTAGGGCATTCATTTCTTGCATCTAAAGTAAGGCACTATTTGAATGCTGCCACTCCGCCCTCCCGCTACCTCGTCTCACCCCGTTCTGTCTACCGCCGGCAGCAACCGCTGACGCTGGGCGCCGACATTGTGATGCACTCGGCCACCAAGTACATGAACGGCCACACTGACGTGGTGATGGGACTGGTGGCCACCAACCGGGAGGACGTGCACGAGCAGCTGCGCTTCCTGCAGAACGGTGAGCGGGCCGCGCAATACGGGCGTGGGGTGGGGTGGGGTTGGTTGAGAGGTAAACATGCTAAATAGCCAGCTGATTCTAGATGGAGGGATTGGAATGATGATTGATGGGCTCGAGGTACATCATGTTCTAGCAAATTTTCGGACTGTTTCTGTGATATTTCGTGAACTTGTGTGAATGCGTTTTGTGTTTGAAATTAGTTTTCAACGCGTTTCAAATCCATATTCTTGTTTCTACAATGCAAATATTGAGGTGGCTGTCATATAAGGCTGCCCTTATTTTCCCCTAGACGTCCCCCCTTCAATAAAACATCGAATAACAGCGTACTTGTTACTGGTCTCTGGTCTTTCCCTCACCGGTCGACCCCCGCTTGTCCCGCAGCGATCGGCCCGGTGCCGTCTCCGGTCGACTGTTTCCTGGTGAACCGCTCGCTGAAGACGCTCGCGCTGCGTATGCGCCAGCACGGCGCCTCATCCGTGGCCGTGGCCAAGTTCCTCGAGTCCCACCCTGCCGTCGAGAAGGTGCTGCACCCGGGCCTGCCGTCGCACCCGCAGCACGAGCTGGCGCGCCGCCAGACCATGGGCTGCTCGGGCATGTTCAGCTTCTACATCAAGGGCGGCCTGACCGAGAGCCGGGCCTTCTTCAAGAACATCAAGATCATCACGCTGGCGGAGAGCCTGGGCGGGTATGAGTCGCTGGCGGAGCTGCCCTGCGTGATGACCCACGCCTCAGTGGACGCGGCCGACCGCGAGCGTCTGGGCATCACGGACTCTCTGATCCGGGTCAGCGTCGGCCTGGAGGACGCACAGGACCTGATGAACGACCTCGACCAGGCGCTCAGAGCCGCCGTGAGTTTGATTTGTCGTCCTGAGGGGAATGGTCTGCCAATGATGTGACAAGGGAAGGGCTCCGACGATTAGGATGTTGACTTTGATTCTGTATTCGTTCTTATTTTATATCAAAACTTTCAGGTAACAATGTCAATCTGCTAATAATATGTGAGATAACGTTTCACGGTTCCAGAATGGGCTTTTTGCTGATCACTTGATCTTATATCACGAAACGGCTGCTGACTGTTCCCATCCTTTATCATAGTTTAGGGTATTCAGGAGCTGATTGATCGCAACGTCCATATTCTGCTTGTGTCCGTCCTAAGTAATTGTCACCCAGTGTTTTCACTGTGCCTTGACAGTGACCTTTGTGTTGGCAGGTATCGGTCTGAACGGCGCAGCTGTGGCCGGCCCTCTCTGGCGCCCCTCAGGCTCCCCAGGGCGCCCCTCTGCCGGTCGTGGGCCGACCCGACCGGCTCCCCTCAGGCTCAGGCACGGGCCTTCACGGCACCCGTGGTGGTCCTTTCTTCACCTATGGCTACTGCGTAGTCGGCGTGCCATCCAAAAGGCGTCCATCACCGCACGTATTGTACGGAACCTGCGACGGGAGTGTGGGGTGTGTGGGTGCACCGGTGCCATTTCGAGTCGTGTGTTTTCGTATCTCTGTTTCTACGGGGCATTTAGAACACGACGGCGTGTGATCTGAGTGTGATGGTGGATGCCGCGTTTCCTTTTTCGACAATATTTTATGAGATGTGTCTAGTCATCGAAAATGATTTATTATACGTATCTCAAAACGAGCCAGTTCAAATGTATTGTTCTTGTTGATTTGGGTCGTTACTCGTTGCTTTTGCACTCGTTGATTTAAATTGTTTATCAGGATTTACTGTGTGGATATTTTGCGACATGGAAATGCAGCCGTTCACCTTGTTTACTGTCTCCGAGTTGTTGGCCATCGCTGTGCTGAATCAGAGAGGTTTTGATAGTTATCAACCGTCCAAATCAGCTCGCTGTGCGGATGATGTCGCCGTCCGTTGCACTCCGTGTACTGAACATCCCGTTTCCGTCAAGTCATGGCTAGCCTGATTGGGTTACAGTATGAGCTGCAGAATAGCGGTACGTCTGGAGTCTAAGACTGAGACGCCGTGATTCGTGCGTGGCAGACGCGTGCAGACTGGATGAGCGGAAACATGATACCCTCTTGGTCGTGGATGACATCGCATTTTCCAAGCGGCATGCATCCTATCCATCCGATCAGTATGCCGACAGCGTGAACTGGCTTCCACTGGGCCATGACACACACGAGCACGGTGAGCGAACGCATACCGGGAAGCAGGCATCGGTAAAATCCTTTTTGAAAGGATTGCATTCCCAATCCACATTCCTAGTGCCGAAGTGGATTGCATTCCTACCCGCAATCCCCTTTTTTCACTTGGATTGTGATCAAATCCGCAATCCTTTTTTGCAATCCTGTTGTATTATTATGTGCACTAGTGGATCTGGGGGAGGGGGGGGGGGGCATAGAGCCGTGCCTCCATCACCAAATGACCCATTTCTTGTACCTAGTCTTGCGAGTAATTTCTATCTAAGGCACAGGTATTTTATGGGAAATATTTTTTGCCTCAAACACCCCCATATTTAAACCTCTACCCAACCAGTGTTTTATATTTTCAAAACTCGCCCTCAAATACGTAATTTTGCCCTTCCTATGTAGTTCATCAGCGTATATCATTTTGAGCGTTTAACCCGCGCCCTGCTGGGGGTCCTGGATTTCCACGCCCTGCTGGGGGGGGGGGGGTGTTTGAACACCCCCCCTTGTAAGTTGGCTCCTGGGCCACGTAGCGATACGCGGAAGGCGGCGTTCGAAAGAGCGTCAAAAATAATGACGAAATCACTTCGGTCAGTTTTTTGGTCAGGTCAAAGGTCAGGTCACCAGAGGTCATTGAAGGCAAAATTTCGCCGATTTCCAGGTCGAATGTCGAAAATTTCCAAGAAGCCAACGCATAACTCGGGAACCAATAGAGCTAGAGCGCCACGGAAAAGCGCATTCGATAGCCCTATTAACGCCCTTTCTGAGTAATTCTCTCAGATTTGACCTAACGTCAACGGTTTTGCCTGCAGGGGGCAAAAACTGCAAAAATAACCGATTTTTTTCGAAAACAGTTTTTCTGCAATAACTTTTGACCCAAGCCTTGTACGAGCTTACTTTTACCGGCATCGTGTTCCTCTCGTCAAGACGCATCGAATGAACTATGACTTGACCTTGAAAGGTCAACTTGAAAATTTGACCTCAGGTCAAGGTCATGACCTGACCGGAAAGGGTCATGTTGCATATCAGTCGATCCGTATCGTCGAGGTGAACACATCTAAGGCGTTTTCATCGCTCTAGCATGCCTCTATCAAAAGTTATTTGCGAAAAACTGTTAGATACCATTCGTGACCTAAGATGACCTCAGGGCATAAACAAGGGTCACGGACACCATTTTCAAGTTCAGTGTGTCTAAACCACTTGTAATTCGGTGTTTGGGAGTGTTTATAATGTCTTTCATCCAAAAGAGGCGCATTTCAATTTTCTCCCATTGACTTATCCCTCGCCCTGGCAGGGGGGGGGTCGATGCGACCCCCCCCCCTAAGGTTTTTCGATGATAGCGTAAAAACGGCGGCGCTGCGCGCCGCCAAATTTGGCACAGCCTATGGGGCAACCTTTTTACATATGACCTGAAAATTTCAGGTCCAGGTGACCTTGGGTCAGGTCACCAGGTCAGAAAAACCGGTACAAGGTCATGGTCAAATTTCAATTTTCTTTTTGCACCTCTCCAACTCACAGTTTTGGACTGATTTCCTTCAAACTTTCAGGATGTGCTAAGTTCACCGAGTTGTATAACATATAGTTCGTTTTTTTTTTAGGTCACTGACCTGAGGTCAGTTAGAGGTCATTACGTCGTAATGTTAAGTCTATGGGAAAATACTAAATTCGGAAAATACTGGAGATATCCGCTTCGTTCTTTCACTTTGGTGCTTTGAAACCACAGTACTTAACAGCAGGTCACTTGGTGCTTCTTTGTTTGGTGTACTTATCCATGGGTCAGGTCAAATGAGGTCAACTGAGGTCAAATGACGTTTTTGCCAATAACTTGGCACATAATGACGCTAGAGCTTAAAAAATGGTATCATTGTGTTCCTGGTGATCAGCCAAATCGAATGATATGCGATATGATGCAATTTGGTTAACTTGAACTTAATTGATTAATTAAAGTTTACTTAAAATTTAAGAAAAACTTTAAGTACACTTAAGAAAGCAAAAAAGTATATCATTCGACGCGCCTTGACGTGCTGAGTTCACTGGTGCTTTTCTTTTTTCTCTATCTTAATTAGATCAAAAGTTATAAGCGAAAAACCTTTGACCTGTTTTTAGCGAAATTTTTACATTTATACCCCCCAAAACCCCCCTAAATATTGACCTAGAGCAACCAAATTTGCACAGGGGCGAGAACTCCAGGGGGCCCACCTACCTACCAAATTTGGTGTTTCTAGGTGCCATAGGAGCCAATCGCGAGGGGGGGGGTCGCATCGACCCCCCCCCTGCCAAGCCGTGTTATGAAAAATGCCCTGCCAGGGCGAGGGTTATAATGGGGAGGTCGCAAAATTGACCTGACCTTAGGTCATCGATATCAAAATTCTGAGATATACATTTTGTACATGCTATTGCTCTCAGCAATCGCTGAAAGTTTCAAAGCGATCGGTCACTCGGTGTAGCTATGACAGACATTGAAAGTTTTTATGAGGTGAGGTCACTTCAAGTGACCTGGTGACCTGACCTTGAATGACCTTGGTCTGAAATTTTTACAACATGTGTAGAATTGATGTATGATAAGGTGTACCAAAAACGGCGGCGCTCCGCGCCGCCGTTTTTGAGATATTCGCGAAAAACCACAAGGGGGGTGTTCAAACACCCCCCCCCCCCAGCAGGGCGCGGGTTAAATTAACCCTCGCATGTGTAGGCGGGGGGGGGGCGGATGGACCCCCCCATGGTTTTTCGCGAATAACTCGCGTAAAAAGCGCCCGATCGCGACGAAACTTTCAGTACCCTCGCATTGATCAATTTGACACCTACTCTGAAAATTTCATGACCCTGACCCAAATGACCTTCGACCTGTGACCTCTTTTCCGAGACCATGTTTGGCCGGAATCGCGATTCGGCGTACGTCGGCTCGCATTAGCCGCGCGTTTGCAAGCTTTTCGTGGTTTCATACGTTCAAACATGTGATTTGATGTTGCTCCCATGCATTAGGGTGGGTGTCAAGGTCACCTGAAGGTTAGGTCAGGTCATTGACCTTTGGTGACCTCGGGTGACCTCGGTTCACTTTTTCGAGTTTTACATGTTTCTATGCTAGTTTTTGGAGCTGAATTCGAATTTAGCAACCATTTGAACATTTACGAAGTAGTTTTGATGCCTTCGTAACATGTTACGAAGCTGTCAGAGGCGGTTGACACGTACTACGAATACCTGTCACGACGCCTACTGATTGACCTGACCTGACCTGACCCGACCTGGTCTAAATGCTTAAAGACATCATCTGTGATCAAAACTAACACGATTTTCGTGATCAGCACCCCGAAAAACCCCTTAGCAGCCACACTTTACGACTTTCTAATAGGTCCCGATTTTCCCGACTTTGGGTCATTGACCTGACCTGGAAGGTCAACCAATGACCTAGGACCTTAATATTGGGTATCATCGGCTTCCTCTCGTCACGGGCAACACGCTCGTTTTTTTCCGCGAAGCTCTAGCTCGATCAGGGGCCAAACGGCAAGGGGGGGGGGGTCCAACCGACCCCCCCCCCCTACACATTAGAAGCTGGAAAACGCCGCACACATGCGAGGGTTAAAGGGACCCTCCCACCTTAACATTAGATTTGAGTTGAGATAGCCAAAATGGGGTCCCTGGCTCACAATTACCGGTTTCGACACTCACAACATCGAGAAATGCCTTAACTCAGAAATATTGAATTTCAAAATTGCAGCATTTTGATTCAGAGGGGCTAATGCTTAGGAATACCCCTCTGAATGTGTGACGTCAGCGCAGATATCTTAACGATTTTTAAATGTTTGACTAAAACGTTTTGTAGCACGTGGAGGTATAAGCTATTTGCGCGCAACATCTGCCGCAAACGCCGCACTTCTAAAATAAAGTCGCTAGAAATAGCGGAGATCCCAAAAAAGTAAACAAAAGTAAAAGTCTAATATCTTGAAAACCGGTGAATATTTTTCGATGAAATTTGGTAAATATTCGTTTTCGCTCTTTCTGAACCGAGCGACATCATTTTCATGCCAATTCATAAACTTTTTTGAAGGTGGGAGGGTCCCTTTAAAGCGCTTAAATTATTTCAAGTTTCGATGTAAAGCCCTTGATAGCAAAGTACATTAAGCCGATGAAGCCGATCTCATAATTTTCAATCGCAACAAACCATTTCAAAGCACTAATCAAACACAATCCGGATTGGATTGCAAAAATTGGAAGTATGATGCAATCCAATCCGCAATCAAATCCTGTTTTTTGGAATGGATTTCAAATCCAGGTGCAATCCACCAAAAAGGAATGCAATCAGGATTTTGCAATCCTGCAATCACAATCCTACCGATGCCTGCCGGGAAGAGCCAAGAACCGGTAGAGCTCGATCGGTATGTCATCCAAGTATCATGACCGTCAATGTGGCAGCAGAGTGACATTAGCAAATCTGCTGTTTGCAGTCATTTAGCCGACATTTCAGCAGACAATCGGTCGGGCCGAATACGAGTATGTTGCTCTGGCAGCGGATTCGCCAAGTGCAGGGTTACCGCTGCTAGGGAAATTTCCCTTTTCTATGGAAATCAGCGAACATCTAGGGATATATGGATTTCACACGAAATCTAGGGAAATACCACCAACC